ATCTATGAAAGTTTCAATAGTTACAGACATTAATATTTATATATAAACATTAATAATTAAAGACACGAAACATGTCATTCCGCTTGGTCCAGCTATAACTGCACATTGACAAGTTTTTAATGATTATAGCAGTTGCTGTTACACACTGTCATCTGTTTAAACACAAAAGAAAATGCTACATAACTGTGCGTTTTTTAAAGTAAACATTTATTAAAATATTAGAAAATTCTATATACTAAGTCGTATAAAAAGAAGTAGTTATTGAAATTTTTAAGTCGTATATACAATGCAACACTTACCATGATACCACCATTTCGTTTTCTTTGGATTTTTGCTACACGTTGACACATAAAATGAATTATCAGGTGGCCTCTTCTGTGGTAAAATAATTTCGATAAATATTTTGTCAATAAACTAAAAGTAAGAATTTCTTACCTTTTCTTTACAACTGCTTAGCATCGACACAATACTTAAACAAACACTTTGCACGCTTAGTGCTGGAGACCAATCATCAGTCAGTATTGATAGGCAGATATGACCATTGCTATAAATATGTGGATGAACTGGTATATTACCACCTATGAAAGTTACTTCCGGCGAATCAAATGGGTATTTAGAGCTAAATTTAAATTGAAGTTGAAATCGTTCGCCTTCGTACAGAGTGCCCTTTGCACCGTCCATGTGTACAATCCATTGTGTTAAATTTTGACCTGCAAGGTCGCCATCTACGTGTACACCTGGCGGAGGTTCACGTATTAAGGACATTAGCTCCTTCTGGAGCCTTCGCTGAAATAATATTTATATAATATGTTATTGTGTACTGTGTCGTATGAAAATATTAATTTATAATATACACAAATTGTAAACAACTAACATTAGGTGAACTTTTAGCACTGCAATTTCCAACCATACTTTCAGATACAACTATCTCAAAGATAATTTGAAGTGTAAGAGAAAATTTTAAAACTAATTAATTCCTGTAGATTGTAGATAATAGATTACTGATATAAATGGATTATCGCGATTATAAAATCGTGAATCAATAGCAGAAATAAGTAGTTGGAAACATATATAATCTATATTATAATATAATAGTAAGACTTGTTAATTGAAAAACATCATAATAGTGCCGAAGATGTAACAATATACACCATACGAAAGGGTAGCGCGTCTTATTTGACGCGAAACGTCATCCAAATTTTGACGAGTGACAACGGTACATAATATTTTCGTTTCGCCGATACACAAGTATGAAATTTTTTGGCATTTTACACCGTGTTAGGCGTTCAATATTTTTATTTAATTCCACGTCATACGATGTAACATAGGTGTAGAAAAGCACAGGGATGTTAAAAGAATTTTGATATTAACTTACCTTCGACGGGGACATTGCCGCCATTGTCGTTATGTCGTTCTCCACTGAAAAATATAATCGTTGTCCATTGCAATTTACACGGATCGCTTGTTTTGTTTATTCTCCCGCTCAAGAACGGTGCAACGCTGCTGCAACGACGGCGCTTTGCATTTTTTCTCCTTAAATTTCGTACCGTATCATATTGCCAAAAAAAATGAGCGGTCGGACAACAGTCGCGAGGCGTCGTAACAGGGATTCGGTATCAATCAGTCAAACTTGACAGCCGTGCTTACATAGCAAAGCCTGAGGCGGGTATACAACACACTTTTTTTCACCCCTTTGCGACCGACATTAGGGGTATTCGGTATGATAGATTCGTTCACAAGCAGACTGCGAATTTTATATATTCTGTAACATACTCGTATGTATATATAACACAATGTCAAGGTTCGTTTCACAAAATGCCTACTTTATTTTTAACTTGACTCAATGTATAATAAAGGAAATCAACTGCTGTATAATTTATACATTTCAAATACGTATATATGTATGTATGTCCATAAATATTTGAATTTTGCATAAAAATTTTCTATCGAAATGTAAAGTATATATTTGAATTTTTTGATTTCCGAAATTTCACTATGATCTAAAGGACTGTGCAATTGACATTAACCGTTTTTATATGCTTACCGTCATCACGAAATTTTATTATTAGTTTCACATATGTATTCCTGTTTGTCACATGAATATTTATACATATGTAATGTGCAGTGAGAAAATGAGAATGGCCCACCCACTTTTCCGGCACGCTTGGTATGGTACTGCCATCGCAGCAACGTGGAACCACAACTAATATGTGTTTGACCCACGTTTTAGCATAGAACAGAACCTTACTTCTATGCTTTTGTATGACCCGTCTGATTCCACGTTACATTAAATAACGTGAAAAAAACACGAATACATATTGTTTATTTTTTAACTTTATGATAGTAACATAACAGAATCACACTCTGACGATTTTACTCGAATGAAAAAATGTATAAAAAGGAAATGTAAAAGATAATTTTATTTGAATGAAATAGAATAGAAAATTACAAAGGTAATCGCATTAAAGGATAAATAATTTTATTTTATAATTTTATTTGGAGATTTCGGTGCTCAAAAGTACACTTTTTTCTATGCTTAAAAGCACACGCTTTTGTGCTTTCAGTGCTCAGAAGTATGTACAACCTATGTGATGGGTTTTGGTAATATGTATATAGTAACGTGGAACTCGTGCGTTCAAAATTATACTAACGTGGAACCAAACGTATCAGATCTCTACAATTTATAAGTTATCGCATCGATGTGCTGAAAACCCGGTCGTGGTTATTCTCATATCACCTTTGTTCGTGATCGAGATAGCGCCGTGCGCATATCGTGCAGAACACGCTACATAATTTAAATTCGCAGTATAAGAACAAATATTTAGATTTATGTTTTCTAGATTTATAAAGATTTAAAGAAACCTTGCAATATTTTGTTTGAATTTCGACTTTTATTTTCTGTATTTAAATAAAAAGAGTAATGCGAGAAAAATTAGCTGTGAAAAAAATAGCTGTGATTAATGGTGCGATAAAGAAATAAAACATTATGTCAAGTAGTGTGTGTGTTTGCATTGCAATAAGTTACAATTACCGAATGAATTGCATACATTAATTGACAAAATATCTAATCAATTTTTACTTTGCTGCTAGCATTAAATCCGTTATCGAATTTATATTTGAAAGAAAATATATGATCATCTTATTTTTTTCTGGATCTGTGGTAAATCTGTCATAGCTTTGACATGAACAATTTTTACTCAACTATGTATGTACATAAAAATCGATCGTATTGCAGTTCTGTACCTTCTGCTTGAACATGTAATGCGCCATGAATGTAGCCGGAAATGTCGGAAGTGTCGAAACTATAAACTTAGTGTTACTTTATATAAAATTATTACAACGATTTATTTCTAATCATATATTAAATCAACAGTGTTTAAACTTATAACCTAGCAGTGAAATCTATATATTAATTATATTTTTATTCACAATGTAATATCGTCTGTTACAAAACCATTTAAATATTGTAAAAACACTTGAGGTGATTATGTTTATGTTTATGTACATAAGAAAGTGCATATAATTAACATGGAAACTCAATTTAGAGGTTGACAAAATTTTTAAGAAAACTGCATGTAAAGGATATGTAACAATAGTGCTCCAAAATCTGCAGAAGATATTCTATTACATATATGCTGATACTACTTTCCCTGGAATAGAAGAATGTTCTTTAAAAACATAACCTATTTTCTTGCAAAACATGTATAGTTGTACTGTCCAATTAAAATAAACGTGAAGTAATAATGCCAAAGGGCAATTACGCTAACTTAATTTTTATTTCACTAACAACTTCGAGGACTTAGAAGAAATACAGAAAATGCATATTGGTGGGGATAATCTTAAATTATAGATTCAAAGCAATAAATCCTTCTGTAACTTCTCTACACATACGTATATACATCATTATTATGCTCACACATAACTATTTTCTTACTTTATTTATTTGAGCTCCTCAACTTTGAAGCTCGAGTCTATTTCCTATAAATTAATCGTTCGACTGAACAGAGGCCAAACCTTTCTTTGATTATCATCGAACTGAAACTATTTCGAATAAGATGATTTTCTCTGTTGCAGTGTCGATGTAACTAAACAATAAAGTATTCATGACTTCAGCAGAACATTTTATCAGTTTAATTACAGTAGCAAGTGCTAAGAAATTAGCTACTGCGCTTGTATTATGCTTTATATTGTACCATGGATTAATGCACCTTATTTATGGTAAGACATCTATGTAACTTTTTCCTTTTTATTTATACTTTGTACTTTTGTTATTGTATGCTTGGAACTTAATATTTAAGTATTTCATATCAATCAACTCTTACAGGTAGTGATTCGTGTAAGTGGTTATTAACTGAAGGAAGATATAAAGGTGATAAAGAATGGCAGCCTTATGGTTGTATGATGCATTATTATACGCAAACGTGAGACCTCAATTTTTATACAATATGTAGTGTTAATATAGAGACTGGTACATATTTTTAAATAAAATTTGTTGTAACAGGGACAGTCGAAGGTGTATGAGATATCTAGCTTTCATGGGCCACCATAATCATTTTGTATTCACCGGAGACGCTAGAATCAGACAGTTGTATAAATCTTTTATATCACAATTTATAGTAGATGGAAAAGCATCTGACTTAACAGATTTGCCACCAAATTCTGATCTAAATTTCAATGATGCCCAGCTTAGGCTAAATGTACAATTCTTGTGGAGACCCCGATTAGATAATTCCATGATAGAGGATCTCAGAGGCTGGGTGGTAGTTGTTTTTATCCTTTGAATAATTGTTTAGCTATTAAGTATGCATATTAATAACTGTGTTGTTTTTTTTTTAGAAAACTGATGCACCTAGTCTAATTATTGCAGGCAACGCAGCAATGACAATTCTTGCAAACAATAATAGTGACACTCAATTAAATTCTGAATATAGCATGGGATTAGTCAGACTTGTGCAACCAGTAGATTTTATGGCTAAAAAAAACACACGATTTTTATGGGTATTACAAGATCCTGTATTAAAAGAAAGACTACCAGCTGATTTAGCAGGCATAGATAACAAGCAAATTAATTTGTGTAATAAGGCAGCATTAAAGGTAATCTTTATTTGTAGTACATGTCAACAATTGTTCTGAAAGGAAGCAAATTATTTATACATTCACTACATGCAGATACTATCCCATAGTGATGCACATATATGGGAAAGCAGTAAACTTGTTGGTACAGGAGTATTGGAACAAAGTCCAGATGGTTACTTGGCTAGTCCTCTGTCCTTAAGACACAAAGTTCAAATACTATTAAATACTTATTGTAATGATCACATGAATTTCGATGACGGTAGCTGTTGTAGTTATGCAGAACCTGCAACTACATTGCAATTATTAAGTTTATCTGGTCTGGCTTTATGGTAATACTTTATATTTTAATAAGTTATTTATTAAACCAAAAGTAACCAATAAATTATTGCAGTATAATAATTGGTGGTGGAATGTGGTTATACAGAAAGTTTTGTCAATATAGAACTGAGGTATCTTATTTACGTGTGACTACTTCCGAAATAGAAGATACCGAGGAAGCAAATACTTCTGAAGTTGTACAGATTGAACCACCCGAAGTACAAGATTTTCATACTTTGATGACAGCTTTGGCTGTTCTATCCATTATTTTAGCTTATTTTTACTTATGTGATAGGTACGTCTTCTAATTATTTTCTGTAAATTAGAATTTGTTGTAAACATAACATCGTGTTTTTTTTGTTTCATTTAGAACCAATTTCTTCATGAAAGAAAATAAATACTACAGCGAATTTAGTTTTTGGTTACCGCTTGGTTATATACTGGCTCTTGGATTATTTTTCACTGAAGACAGAGAAAGAGGGCCAAGGACCTTAAACCGAGAACAAACAGACGAATGGAGAGGATTAATGCAAGCTGTAGTTTTAATATACCACGTTACTGGAGCTAAAAACGTTTTACCTATTTATATGTACTTGAGATTAATAAACTCTGCGTATTTATTTCTTTCTGGATATGGACATTTTTGTTACTTCTGGCAGACCGGTGATGTCTCTCTAGTTAGATTTGCTAGGGTAAGTTAACACAAAATGTACTGAACATTGTTAACATTGTAGGAATTAATAATGTATGTAACTATTATGTTCCAGGTAATGTTCAGACTGAATTTTTTAACAGTTTCTTTGTGTCTTTGTATGAATAGACCATACCAGTTTTATCATTTTGTTCCATTGGTTTCATTTTGGTTTTTAGTCATCTATATTTTGGCATGGCTACCACCAAGAATATATTCTGGTAGCCTTACTGAATATGGTCCAAGAGCTTTACTCTATCTTGCTTTGAAACTTTTAGGTCTTGTATCAATGATTACTATACTTTATGTCTCAGAGGTATTGAACTATAAATTATTTAATATATAAAATTCAAATTATAACAAACTTAGCAATAATTTGGTAATGTAATAGGTGTTCTTTGAAAAAGTTTTTGTAACAAGACCTTGGAAAGCACTATTTGTAACAACCGATGATGATATACGTGAATGGTGGTCACGTTGGAGAGTAGACAGATACAGTGTGGCATGGGGTGTAACTTTTGGAGCTGGTCTTGTTGCTTTGCAAAGGATAGATCACATTCCTGGAACTGCATTGTCTTCTGTACTGGCATTAATTTCTCTGACTGCTTACACGACTTTCACTATACTGTGTCATTCGGTATCAGAATGCGAAGAAATTCATTCATATGTGGCATTTATACCGGTAATTATGTATACATGTAAAACAATTTTAGAATATAATATTTAATAAAATTTCTGTTGCAGATTATAGGATATATAGCACTTAGAAACGCATCATTAGCATTACGTGGTAAACATTCAGCTCTCTTAGCTGGGTTAGGACGAATCAGTTTAGAAACTCTAGTCGCACAAGGCCACATATGGCTAGCAGCAGATTCGCATGGTGTGTTAGTGTTATTGCCAAGATTTCCAGTATTAAATTTATTAGTCACATCTTTTATCTTTATATGTGCAAGTCATGAAGTGAGTACCTTTTTCCTTTTAGTATATAATGTATATTATAATTTAATACTGTTTTATTTCCTTTATCAGATACATCGATTAACTCGGATTCTGGCCCCATATGCAGTACCCAATGATTGGAGACTGGTTGCGCGTAACTTGTTATTATTTATTGCAGTTCTTGTACCAATAGGTATTCATGATGGAATGTTCTGAATGCAACATTTTTACAAAAATTTTTTGCATAATATATGTACATATTATATACAATAAGCACATAATTTTTGTAATATTCTTTCACAGGTTTCATAAAGCAAAAATATAACAAAAGACCTATCTATTAAATTCTTCTTTCCACTATACATTTTTATAATAGGAAAATTAACAATTTAGGAAAGAAAAAGGATATCACTTAATAATTATATATGTATAAATATTAAAATATTTTTTATTTACCATTTACAATGATTAAATGAATCATTTGGATAAAATCTGTTTTGTTACAATTGTGTACTTGTCCAAAAACAGTTACCATATCAGTAACTATTTTTATTGCTTCTGGTGTTACTATGTTTTATTTGACTAGTATAAATATCATAACCAAGGGATATAGTATTATCGTAAAGGACCCTATATTTAGTTGGTAAGAAATAGAAATTAAAAACTTGTGCTGGTGGCCAAATAACCCATTCAGCTATATATAATATATGAGCCTTTCTAATAATCTCATTTTTTAGATCAGACCAGCTGTTTCTTTCTAATATACCTAATGTTACAAAAAAAATTGCTATACAAACTGGAGAACAGATTAACTGATCAACAACAACTTTTTTTAAAACAGTACTAATTGATCGTCCTGGTAATCTAGCATCTAAATATTTATACCAATAGTGGCATACTATACCGATTGACATACCAGATACAGCCATATTTCTGGTTCTATTTGCACTAAATTTATTCCAGTCACCCTATAATAAGAGAAAAACAACCATACCAACATATTAACATATGTTAAACGTTAAAGTAATATATAATTACCTTGAGTATTTCATAATGCTGTTC